AAAATCCCGCCTCACAAAGATAGGATGTTATAGATAGGATGAGTCTTGACCTGAATTAACCTGTGTCAAGAGGCACAGATGCACCGACTGATGTAATTGGGAGAGAATACCGCAATTTTTTTTATATTTTTCAAAATAAAACATCACTTAGACTCTGATCGTCGATAAACTATATATATATATATATATATAATTTATCGACGATCAGAGTCTGAGTGATGTTTTATTTTGAAAAATATAAAAAAAATTGCGGTATTCTCTCCCAATTACATCAGTCGGTGCATCTGTGCCTCTTGACACAGGTTAATTCAGGTCAAGACTCATCCTATCTATAACATCCTATCTTTGTGAAGTGGCATTTTCTGCGGTTAGAGCGACCAAAACAAAGCTACGGAGCAGACTGGACATCAGGAGCACACTTCATGTGTCATTGTCTCCGATTACGCCTAGATGGGACCGGCTTGTTGTTTTATTTTTACGCTGTTTGTATTTGATTTTATGCCAGTCCTATCATTTTACTGGATCGTATTACATTTTGGACTGGTCTTTTAAAAAGCTGAAGTAACCGCTTGAAGCAGGATCCTCCTGAGAGGGCCCGCTTGTTCAGCCCACCCATCCTGGCCTCAGAGCAGCTCTTCTGTCTTTGCCATCAGGCGGGCTTGTTCATGTGAATGCCGGAATAAAATGATGTAAATGTGATTCGTGCAAAGATTTGGACCGTTCAATGCTCATAGTCATAACCTTTGATTAACTGATGAACAGGCATCTGTTCTGGTTCTGGTCTAGCGCATATTTGTTTTTAGACAAGTAGAGGGTTTTATGTAGAGTCAGTTTTAATTCTCTTTGAACAATTTGAAACATATCAAATCTGTTTATTGTTTTGAAGGCTGTCATTTAACATTTTCGCCTGATAACATGAGAAGACTGACATCATGACCATGCAGCTACAGCAGCTCTTTATCCAATGGAAAACCTATAAAGATAAATGGCATTGGTGTGGAGCTGGGCTTTACACAGGTGTTCATGGTATTTACAGTTTTTTAATTTGTGTTGTTTTTCTCCCCCTAACAGAGCGAGCTTCATAGGAACTGCTCATCTGCCAGTGAACTGGCCTCTGTCGCTTTGGGCAGAAGTGGGGGCCGGGAAGCCCCTCTCCCTTCACTCCACACAGATAATGAGTGCGGCTGGAAACCTTTTGGTATTTATCTGCTCAACTCTATGAAAAGGCTTTATTTAGGGATTTATATTGAGAAATGCATGTGTCTGAGTAAAGGCTGATTTTATTTACTTTTATTTCTATATGTGATGGATGTTTTCCACCCTCTGGTCTGGTCAGATTAAGCTCCTTTTATCAGAGGCAATGTTGTTTATTTTATTTGTCTTTTCTTAGAAAAAAGACATTTCAATCTGTCAAATTTTATTAGGTGTTTCAGCTTTAAAGCTTCTGTGATATGTTTCACTTGGCTTTGAGCTGAAGCACTCTTTCCCATTGTGGTTACAAAGGCTGTCCGTAAACTGAGACGACACTTAAGAGACCCAGGACATTTATTAATGTAAACACTTTATATCTTCTGTCTCATTATTCTGATGTCCAGTAAACCTGTTTAGACAGTTTTGAAATCAGAAGAAATCCAGGTGTTCTGCTTTAGAAGCATCCTGCTACTAGAATGTCTTACTGAAAGCACACTGGGAAAAAGGTAGATCGCTGTACTTGAACTTGTTGAATCCATAAAACCTGTTGTTTAACCTGTTGCTACAGCAATAAAGAGCAGTCAATATTTGAAAGCTCTCCAGCAGTTTGTGTAGAACACTTGTGCTTTTGTTCTGAAGGTTATTGACACTAAAGGCTTAAACACACCGGTTGCGTATGACTTTTTAGTCTGAACCGATTTCTGTCCATGTCACACTGACTTCGCATAGAGAGGGAGGGTGAGCAGATCTATGTTTTCACTTTTGTCTCTGTTCCACATAAATTACAACAGTTTCACACATGTGACTTGGACAGATTATGTAAAGTTATGCAAAATACATAAAAAAAGATAAAGAGCCACTGGTGCAGCTATAAAAAGAAAGCCCCAATTGTACAGTAAAGAGTCTGTGCAGCATCTCAAACCAGAACAGATAAAGAATGTTTATATGCCTATATTAAAAACACGAGATTTACGTCTAAAGAAAAAAGAAACCACAGCAATAAACACTGTTGGAGAGTTTATATGCTGACTGAGGCAGAAAGGGGATTTTTCAAAGTCAGATCTGTGAAGTTTATGGAAGTTCTGAGGGGAAAGTGATGCACTTCCCTTACCTGTGCTGTCTGCACCTGGTAATTTTTTTATTTTTGTGAGGATATATCTGTTTTCTATCCTCCTGAACTGCTTTCATGGGTTAGGTTTTCTTTTTTTTATATATATATTTCATTGATTGTTTTTGTACTAGTTTGTCCCGGTTGCTATATACGCGATGTGCGACTCCGAACCGGACTGTTCCAATGATTGTGTGCTTGACTTATTTTATTTTGGATCGTCCCCCAAAGCGGATGCATTTTACTTTGTAACCGCGTCTCTATTCCTGTCAGACCTATGAAATTGCTGCTGGATTGCTGCATAGTCAGATTAAAATAGACCTGGGGTCTATGTCTATCGGAGCTGCGCAGGCCCTCTTGCTGAAAATCGTGTCAGGTGTCCCTATTGATTTTTAATGAGCGCTAAACGCCACAACACGATTTTCTGTCGGATTGGGCGCATAATCGGATTCGGTGTTTTCTTCCCTTAAATGTGTCAGCAGTGCAGCCCTGTTGGAAAGAGTGTTTCTGAATTCAGTAACTGATTGCTTCCTGATTCTGGTTTAACAATGATTGTTTGAATTGCAGATAAAAGCAACTACAAACAGCTGTTAGGAGCCATGGACTACTCCTTCCTCTGTGCCTATGCCATTGGGATGTATCTCAGGTGAGACATCGGCGTGAGCCAAACTAGTTCTTAAATAGAAAAATTTACATTGATTCAGTCGATTATGAGCAGAGAACAACCGTGTTCCAAACAACTAAATATTCATGTTAGCTCTGGAGCTAGTTACCCTCTGTATCTTGGTTTCTTTCTGTATCTCTGCTTCTGTCTCCTTGAACCCCTGTCGGCCTCAGCAGATGGCCACTCATACAGAGCCTAGTTCTGCTGGAGGTCTCTTCCTGTTAAAATAGAGTTTTCCTCTCCGCTGTCACTACAAGCATGCTTGCTGTGAGGGATTGCTGAAGAGTCAATGAGTCGATGCAATCAGCTGGTTTTCCTTAGTAGAAACCTTCGTGTTAATTTGACTATATGATCTGTTTGATTTGTCTCTGTAAAGTGCCTTGAGATGATGTCGTTATATAAATAAACTAAATTGAATTGAATTAAATGTTAGATTTTTAGAGTTGGGAAAATAGAATTGGAGCCTTTTCTGAACTGTTTTTTTTAAAGGTATAGTGGAGGATATTTGCTAATTTTTTAAAAGACCCGCCCTCTCCACCATTAAACATGTGTGGAAGCATGCACCAACCTATCTGTCCTCATGCAAGTTTTTTTTTTAAAGTAGCTGTTTGCATCGCTCATACAAGCTTACTTCCCAAAAGAAGATTTGCAAATTTTCCAGTATGTCAGACTAAGTAAACATATCGCTAGAATGATTGACAGTTAGGAGGACCACTTATTTTGGTGATCCATCAAAAATAAGTTTCGTCACGCTTAACCCTCGTGGCGTCAAGAGGGGTGCTGGTGTCTATCTCCAGCTGTCTACAGGCGTGAGGCCGGCTACACCCTGGACAGATTGCCGTCCATTTTGGTGATCCACCCTGAAAAAAATAAACATCCTCTACTAAACATTTAATCTTATGGAAGTTTTACTGAATACAGAGATGTGGATTTTTAAACACTTCAGAAAAGGGGGAAAAAATAAAATTAACAAATTAGTTTACATGTAATGGAGTGAAATGAGTTTTTGATTCTTTATTAAATCGTGACATGCACTGAGACATTTTCTCCAACTGGTTACCGGGTTTTCACACATCTCCAGAGCTTGTTTTTTTTTTTTTTTACACACTCATCTTTAAAGAGTCTCTAAAAGCTTTATGGTTCTTCTTCGCTGCTGCTTGTAAACTGAAAGCTTCAGTTGTCTCTACTGATTCTCTGACGGTCTGGAGCGGCACACCGCCATCCTATGACCTTTTATATCCGTGATTCTTGAGATAAGAGCAAGCGTGGGTACAACTTAATTATTTATCAAGTTAATTTTCCTAAATATGATGAATAATATTTTGGAAATGTAAACATACAGGCTCCCAGTTGGAACAGTTTTGGTTTTTCTTTTTCATTTTTGGAGCTGAACTAGAACACTGTCAACCTTTATCGGGCAAAAATGGATGATTATTTATTTATTTGCTTTTTTATTTCATCATTATTTTCTTTTAATAAACCTATAACTGATATTTTTACATTTTCTTTGTTATTTAATTATATGCGTTACTTAAAAATAAGCCTGTATATTATTACTTCTGTCCAGTGGATACAAAATAAGGATTAAACAGTGGAATTTAGAAGTGAAAAAATATGCAGCACCTTGAGAAACATCCTTTAATAGCTCTTGTGCCCTTGAGATTGGACATATTTGCCTTATTAAGGTCAGGGTTAACTGTTAATGATAAACTTTAATATAAAAAAATATTTTGAACTTTAATGTCTTATGAAAGAATCATAAAACTTTTGTTTGAGGGAAAACAAAGAAAATCTGTAAAATCTTCATATCCCAGTTTTTTTTTTCATGTTCACTTCAATTCACTTCAAAAAAGAAACATTAGAAGAATATCTGACTCCTCCATCAAACACATACCAGCTTCAAACTAGGACTGAAGGAGTGAGAGTTATCCTTAGTTCTGTTTTACTCATAAAGAAAACTGTTCCAACAGCAGCAGCAGAAATCTTCTCAATGAAAGCTGTGAATCAAGCTTTCAGTCTATAAATGAATGTGACCCTAATATATCTTTGCTGTACCCCCCCCCGTGCAGTGGCATCATTGGGGAGCGCCTACCTATCCGGCTGTATCTCACAGTGGGAATGCTGGCCAGTGGGCTTTTCACCTGCCTGTTTGGCCTCGGCTACATCTACAACATCCACAGCCTGGGTTTCTACATATTTGTTCAGGTGAGACCCGTGTAAATGTTTTAATGTTTAATGACCCTTTGACTTCCTTCACCAGTGTCAGAGCGGAGCCTGTCATCAATGTGGCTACTTAGACACTGTGGTCAGAGGTTCTTAAGATGGTTTGAGTACAGAGTAAGCGTCTACAGGCAGAGGAACAGCCCACAGTCTGCTTCACTGCTGCTCCCTAGTACCTTAGCTTATGTTTGTTTGTGAATAACTCAGAATGTATGAAAATTCCACTGGTAAAATGTTTACCAATATAAACATGTTCGTTGGAAAGTTTAGATTCTCCACAATTCAATCCCCAAGTTCATTTTATGGACACTATGAGCACCAAAGCACATTTAACACAAATATTGCAGCATGTCAAAATGTAAACAAACAAAGCAGCCACAACTACATACTTTTGAAGGCATCCAGAAGGAGTTTTATAAATCCAATCTTCAATTCTTCATACTCCATTCACCCGTAAGGGTCCACAGATTAAAAATAATCCAGCATATTCGTAATAAAAATATTCCATGATGAGAAAATCGCTCATAACATCTGTTGTTGACTTCAGAAAAGTTAGCTGGTCATAGCTAATGCTCAGTATCTTGCTAATATTTACTTCCTAGTACCTATTTCCTCGGTTGTTAACCATGTTTGGTATGGTTCTTTACATAGTCGTCTTAAATACAAGACAAAAGTGTCTGCATCTTTTTATGACACGATTTTAGCCAGATTCAGTCACTGAAATCTCACTTCCGGTCACTTCCTGTCAGCCAGTGACTCACCGAATAGCGCGATATTGCACCTCATAGAGTCCTGCAATTATTGGCTAAGAGCACGTTGGTTGTTGGGCTTTGTAGCTAATGAAATAAGGTTTCAAACAAGCCTACACATGGCGACTTTAGAAAAAGGCAGACCCCGTTTTGCCGTAAGAGTCGAACACACAGCTGCTGCTGAATCAATACACTCAGCTCCAAGCTGAGTGATGACAGCGGCCCTATTTTTTTTAAGTTTGGACACTGATTTTTTATTACAATTTTATTTTTTATTACAATGCCTAAGGCTGGAAAAAAAATAAAATACAGCTTAGAAAAGGCAGCTGGGCTTGTTTTAGCTTGAAAAGCAGAAATTTCACTATCTTTTATAGATTTTTATGTTATTATAAGTGTACAATTCTACATATTGTTATATACACTGATTCTGAAAAAAAGTGGGAAATACTTGCTTCATAAATATTTATGGCCATCAACTTTCTTCAGTGTTATTCAATGGGTCAAATAGCATTTGGCACATTTAGAGATTTTTTGGAGATGCTGGTGACACCAAAAGAGCCCCACAGCTCTGGAACTGTTGTAGCTAGAGATCTGAAATTTTTTGCATTTGCGGTTGACATGACGTAGAACAAATGTAATACAACAAGACTTGGCTTTTTCGCAGGCATGTCTTTATTACTGCTGTTCATAAAAGACCTATCATTTTTGAGAATAAAAAAACAACTTTGAGTCATGTTTGAATTTTCATTTATATATTCAGAAACTAGAGGGTGTTAGCTGTCAAATAATTGCACACGTGATTTTGGCCAACAGTTCCTAAGTTATTTGCTGTTCCGTCAGCGTATGCAAAATAGAATTTCCCAAAATGAGGTGGTTGTTATTAGATACCAAATCCAAACAAACATTGGTTTTGCATTTCCTTATGTTGATGTCGCAGATTTGACTAATGCACATAAAGGTCGCTAAAGCAACTTGCTAGAATAAACATAAAACCTTTTTGTTTTGTTATAGGTGGCCAACGGGCTGGTTCAAACCACTGGCTGGCCCAGTGTAGTGACCTGTATTGGCAACTGGTTTGGAAAAGGAAGGTAAGATGGAATAAATAGAAGTAAAGATGGGTGGAGCTAAATGGGCTGATGGCATATGTGTTTACATCTTAAATGGTTAATGTTGGACCTTTGTGATGTTTTTGGCAGGCGTGGGCTCATCATGGGGCTTTGGAACTCACACACCTCAGTGGGAAACATCCTGGGCTCTCTAATCGCTGGGTACTGGGTCTCATCTAACTGGGGCCTCTCCTTCATTATACCTGGCCTCATCATTGCAGCCATGGGAGTGATTTGTTTCCTTTTTCTTATTGAACGTAAGTACTTGTTTGTGTATATGTAGCGTTGCTCTTTAGAAATGTGGTCTACCTTAGGTTTTTAAACTTCTGCCAGTTTAGGTTGGACATGTAAAGTTAACGTGTTGAGCATTTCAACCTTCCTCATTCAGTGTTTTTCCCTCTGTAGATCCCAATGACTTAAAAGGTGTGTACGCTCAGAACCTTTGTCCTGGAAATGGTGTAAGTAAAGAATTATTATTTTTTTCTTTCAGTCTCCTTATGTGTTTTTATCCATTTTAAGTAATAAATAACTTTTTCAGGTTTCAGCCAAAAGCTGGAATGGAGCAAACGGACATTCAAAGGTTTACCTGCAGTACAAGGACAACAAAACGCAGGTGTGCATCACTGTTATTACTTCAGAGGCGGTATGGTATATCCTTGTGAAACCCTGACATCGACAAAGTCATAATATATTCAACATTTACCGTATATTTTTTTACTACAGAAGTGAGGTCCGACTAAACATTTATTTTGCAGAGAGCATCTAATAAAAATGATACACTAAGGTCCTGCAAGGATTGACAGAAGTCCAGCTAATTGATGTAATTAGTACTTTTTA